AAGTATTGTAACCCTTAGTTGTTATAAATAGTAGTTTTTATAAATCTTAGTTGTTGTAAACCTTAGTTGTTATAAATAGTAGTTTTATAAATCTTAGTTGTTGTTAACCTTAGTTCATATAAATAGTAGTTATAATTCTTAGTTGTTGTAAACCTTAGTTCATATAAATAGTAGTTATGAACCTTAGTTGGTATAAATAGTAGTTTTTATAAATCTTAGTTGTTGTAAACCTTAGTTCATATAAATAGTAGTTTTATAAATCTTAGTTGTTGTAAACTTTAGTTGGTATAAATAGTAGTTTTTATGAACCTTAGTTGTTGTAAACCTTAGTTGATATAAATAGTAGTTTTATAAATCTTAGTTGTTGTAAACCTTAGTTCATATAAATAGTAGTTATAATTCTTAGTTGTTGTAAATCCTAGTTCATATAAATAGTAGTTATAAACCTTAGTTGTTATAAACGTTAGTTGATATAAATAGTAGTTGTTATAAATAGTAGTTATAAATCTTAGTTGTTGTAAGCCTTAGTTGATATAAATAGTAGTTTTATAAATCTTAGTTGTTGTAAACCTTAGTTGATATAAATAATAGTTTTTATAAATCTTAGTTGTTGTAAACCTAAGTTTATATAAATAGTACTTTTATAAATCTTAAGTATTGTAACCCTTAGTTGTTATAAATAGTAGTTTTTATAAATCTTAGTTGTTGTAAACCTTAGTTCATATAAATAATAGTTATAATTCTTAGTTGTTGTAAACCTAAGTTGATATAAATAGTAGTTTTATAAATCTTAGTTGTTGTAAACCTTAGTTCATATAAATAATAGTTATAATTCTTAGTTGTTGTAAACCTTAGTTCATATAAATAATAGTTATAATTTTTAGTTGTTGTAAACCTTAGTTGATATAAATAGTAGCTATAAACCTTAGTTGTTATAAACGTTAGTTGATATAAATTGTAGTTATTATAAATGTTAAGTATTGTAAACATTAGTTGTTATAAATAGTAGTTTTATAAATCTTAGTTGTTTATCAACTAAGGTTTACAACAACTAAGAATTATAACTACTATTTATATCAACTAAGGTTTACAACAACTAAGATTTATAAAACTACTATTTATCAAATTGTAGTTATTATAAATCTTAAGTATTGTAAACCTTAGTTGTTATAAATAATAGTTGTTATAAACCGTAATGCATATAAGTAGTAGTTACTATAAGAATTGTGATAAGCTTAGTTGGTATAAACCGTAGTTGTCATAAATAGCTAACTCTATAGATATTAATTCTTTTGAATGTAATCGTTATAAATCGTAATTGTTATATATAGTACATGTTATCTAAATTAATTTTATAAACAGTAGTTATTGTAAATTAGTTTTTATAATCCGTAGTTGCTTTTCACATGTAGATAGTTTACATTATTTTTAGAAAATTAAGTTTGGATTCTTTACAACTGAATTTTAACTTTATGCGCATGTTATTTTTAACAGTTGATACTTATTTTCTATGTATGAATACTAAGTTTGGGTACATATATAGTTTTAAAATATTCACTTTGAATTCTTCTTTGTCTTAATACTGGGTTTGTGTACAAAGTTATTTTTAGAAACTTCGGTTTAGATTATTTCTCTAGATATAAGTACTGAATTTACTTATTTTATATACTTATGTTTAGAAACCTAAGTTTTGGTTATTTTATTTGTCTGAAAATTGAGCTTTTGTGCATAATTATATCTGGAATATTAAATTTGATTTACTTTATGTCTTAAAATTGAAGCTGTTTACGTTGTTATTTAGTGACATTTAGGTTATTTGCATTACTTTTATGTGTGGTTCTCTCAGAGTTAAGTGGTTAGCGTACCGGATTGTAAATCTGGGAGGTCTCTGGTTCGTGTCCCGTTGCCACCAAACTCATTTTGAACTTTAGAGCAGTAGATAGATTGTAGTATTTGATAAGAATGAACTAAATGCTGGCAGTGAATGCTAATGACTAATTGCCTTTCCTCTTGTCTATCAGTTCAAAACTAAGGATGGCTAGAGCTAATAGTCGTTTTGTAGCTTTGAGCGAATATCTGGAACAAACAAAGTTTTAAGTTTTAGGGTTGAATTTAATTGCTTTTCTATTTCACGAAACTTCAGTTTGATTATTTCTTTATCTTAGTATTGATCTTGCGTTCTAAATTATTTAGTAGAACTGCTTATATTACGTAGGTATTTTATGAAACTTACGTCTTGGGTACTTTTTATCTTAATATTGGGTTGTGTAAGTATTCTTTAATTTCTTTAAACTAAAATGACGATCATTTTAGCCTGTTTTTCATGCAGTATGCGGAAGTCGGCAAACTGTAAGTTCGAAAGTATTTTACACTATAAAAGTAGCTGAATAAATACCTTGCCAATAACTTAAAGACTAAAATAACAAATTCGACTTTGGTATGTGGCCACCACTAGCATAACCTAGTGTGATATATAGCTTTTGATATTTTATGATCTGCCGAAAAGTAAATAACACAGGAGTTGGGCTAAAAATAAAAATAAAACGAGTAGATCGCTACGAAGCCAAATAATTTAAAGCAGTAAATCGTAAACATACGTTTTGTGTATATATATATATATATATATATGATAGTTTCATGTTCATTCGTGTGAGAGTCATTAGATATTTAAAAACACACACATTATAAAAAGGTAAGGAGATCGAAGGATTTGTTTCCTCTGATCCACTTTCTTAGAATAGCATATAGTTTTCAATATGTAGCACATTAACTATTCGTCAAAATTCCCCCCAAAAAATCTACATTGTTAAGCCTCACATATCATTGCCAAGCTCGTCCTACAAATTTACATCGTTAAACCACACATATCGTTGTCACGGCTGTACGAAAAACTTACATCGTTAAGCCTGATGTATCATTGCTACGCTCATCCTACAAATCTACATCGTTAAGCCACACATATCGTTGTCACGGCTGTACGAAAAACTTACATCGTTAAGCCTGACGTATCATTGCTACGCGCATCCTACAAATTTACATCGTTAAGCCTGATGTATCATTGCTACGCTCATCCTACAAATCTACATCGTTAAGCCACACATATCGTTGTCACGGCTGTACGAAAAACTTACGTCGTTAAGCTTGTCCACCTGAGGCTCTGCGGTATATAACATTAACTAAGATTCAGGGTTACATACCTACGGCGGGCACAGCACAAAACCAATCGTACAGCTTTGTACTTAAACCAAAATAAAAAGGAAAAAATAGTCAAGCCCCACATGTCAGTGGTGATTTTACAGTCACTTGTTATACCATCTCAGAACATCTAAATCTGACAAAATATATATATATATATAAAAGTAATGATTAGCAGAACATTTTTAAAACTGTGTATTAGTTTATTGTATTAGTAAATAAAATGTGTATTCGAACTCGTTTTGTTAGCGGACAAAATTACAGTTAATATAATAGTTACATTTTTTAATTACCCAAAAAAAATCATATATTTTGTGACCAAATTACAAGGTAACTCTTATAAAATATTCTTCATTGTAATTTGTAAAATTTATAATTATTGTTTGTTTGTTCTTTCAGCTAAAGAAAAAAAAATGTCTTCATCTGTCAACAAGCCACAGGGAATTAGCCACCACGAGATGAAGTCGTTTGGATTCGGGTTCAAAGCTTTCAAGAAATTTCCTGAGGTAATAAATCTAACCTCGATAACATGATACCAAACTATTATGATGCAACACGCTCTACCACTTTCACCTATGTTGTTATATTTGTTTTTGCCTCCTTTGCATTGAAGTTGAAATAATTGTTGATTATGTCATTCATATTTCACAAATATTTTATGGAAGTGAGACAAATCCCGAATATATTTCGTATATAGTTTCGGTTTTTAGCGTTATAATTCCCAAAGAACCGACAGTTTACTTTTCACTGCATTTTGATAATAAGTATGTATCAACTGAAACATTTTTAGGATTCTTTGTTTGTTGAATTTTGTGCAAAGCTACTCGAGGATTATCTAAGCTACCTGTCCCTAATTTAGAAATGTTAGACTAGAGAAGACAACTAGTCAACATCACCCACTTTCAACTCTTAAGCTGCTTTAATTGAATAGTGGGATTGGCTATCACGTTACACCACCCCAAGCCTGAGATGTCGAGCACATTCGGTGATGAGGTAAGAACCCGCGAGCGCAGGTTGCAAATAGAACACCCTAACCACCATACCATGCCAGACCCTTTTGAGATCCTAATTATTTGCTGACTATTGAATAAAACCTCTTCAAGAGGATTCTACCTTATTTTGACAACGATTATAAATGTCAATTTAATTTTACTACTTTATGATCATTAAGTGTAAAAACGGGCGTTGAAATAGTTTTCTAATTTGACTTTCTTCTTCATGTTATTTTATTTTTTATTTATTTGTTTCTTTTTACTGTGAGGTTCACTGCAAATGGGTAAATACAAACACTACGTCAATGTTTATCAAGAAAATGTAAAAACACAATTTTCACGTGGCTGGGAATAAAGGTTTACGTATACAACTTTCAAGTAGCTGAGGGTGGTGGTTTATGTTAACAAATGTTTCCTATCTGAATATGATGGTTTATATAAATAGCTTTTATGTATCTGGATATGAGGGTTTATGAAATAACTTTTGCGTATCTGGATATGAGGTTTTATGAATCAACTTTTGTGTATCTGGATATGAGGGTTTATGGATCAACATTTGTGTATCTGGATATGAGGGTTTATGAAACAACTTTTATGTATCTGGATATGAGGGTTTATGAAACAACTTTTGTGTATCTGGATATGAGGGTTTATGTATAAAAGTATGACAAACAACACTGGCCTACGAATTTAAACTTCATAAAAGTTGTTTGGATTTTATTAACGGATTTTTCATAATTCAGCTACGCAGACTTCGAAAAGAATATCTATTTTTTTCTATCACGTAAGGATTTTTTTTTTACAAATCTGGATGAAAAAAAACACTCTTACTTATATCAAATTTACAACAAATTTACCACAAATATAACATAATATGTTTGGGTCATTTACTCAACCTCTTGTTGCCATAGTGACGAATAAATAATATTGAAAATAAGAAAATAATGTCAAAGTGCACGCACAAACAAATATTATCCAGAAATGACAAGTCATGCGGCCTGTTAACCGTTTATATACTAGCGGTATGTTTCTCGTGGGTTCTAGAATGATGGATAAGACTCTCACGTCGCGATTGGTCTAGAGAAATCTATAGCCAGTGGTTGTCAACATTTTGAGCATAACAAAATGTGACCCGATTTAAATGAAAATGATTCACTTATGTAAAAGTACATATGACGTTTTGTGAAAAATATGTACGTGATGGAGAAAAATGGATATCATTTTCGTATTCAGCGTACAGTAATTATAGTAAAACATGTAAAAATTTCAAGACAATAAAACTATCGCAGACCTGTGTAATTGACGTGGCTGATCCCCTCACTTCTGAATTCCACTCGGAAATTAAAAGAGTTAGATTTTTCATGTAATCACATTTTAATTTTCGATTTCGCAATTCTTCTTTACGAAGTTCTGGTATTTGAGTTTCCATCTTGACTTTACAGTGACTTTTTTCGTGCACGAAAGTGGAATGTTATAATGCCCCACGCGCAATAATAGTAGCTAAGTTATCAGTGACTAGGTCGTATTAATTATTGACTGAGATGAGGCAAAGAGAGTAGGATAAGGGGGGAAAGGCGGAGATTGAGCATTGATTAGTGGTATGATTCATCGCTCAGTGCCTTCATATGTGGCTCAGCTCTTGGCCAAGAACATTTCATCTGAAAGCACACCCAATATCAGCTACTGAATTAACAGACGACAAAAGAACGGTTGTTCATCACTTCTGCTAGCACGGCTTGGTAATTTTAGAATAATGTCTTCCCCAGTGACCAGTAAGACGTGAGATTTAATGTAGCCCTAATACAGTGTAAGCAAAATGTCATTGTTATTCCGACAAGCCTGATTCCAGTAATGGCTATGGATTGGCGACCTTAATAACTACGTGACTTACTATCGAAAACATTACTTACAACGAAGGATACCCAACTGATGAATCAGTCAATTATAACCAATACAAACCATTCTTCTGGTTAGACCGATGTATGAAATTAGCTACCTTACTTATCGGATTAATTTTTAGTTCAGTTTTATGTGGGTAGCTTGTTTGATCAGAAGTTAATGACAATTATTCAACATTATAGTCTTGACTTATATTAGTTTTTAGAACAACAACAATTATAAGTCTATGAAATCAATTATCCCCCCCCCCCAGTAGCACAGCGGAATGTCTGCAGACTTGCACCGCTAGAATCCGGGTTT